GGGTGAAGCCACACACTTGTCGAATCACGTCGGGTTATATCGGATTATGTCGGATGATGTCACGAATTTGGTGTACTTGGTGGGGTGCCCATGGCGGTAGCTGTGCCTCAGCTTGCCCATGGTCTTAATCAGCTTGTATCCCTTGTTGAGGCCTCCAGTCATAACGTATCACAGAGCCGAAGCCGCTGCTTCTCAGTGGCTCCTAAGGCAAAAAAGGCTGATTACTTTCAAGATTCTTTGTCCTTAATTTTTATAAGTTTATTATGGTGTGCCTGGATATGGCTTTCTTTGCATTTATCCTATTTGGGGGATACTCAGCTTCTCGAATCTGTAAGTTTATGTAGTTTACCAAATATTTTATATTCAGCCATTATTTCTTCAAATATTTTTTTTCAGACCCAAGTTTCTTTCTGCTCTTCTTCTGGAACATCAATGATGTGAATGTTAGATCTTTTGTTATTGTCCCAAAAGTCCCTGACATTCCTTTTGTCTCAACAGGTACCTTTTAATTTAAAAAAATCTACCTTTATTTTGTGTAGAATTCAACCTATTTACTCTCTGTTGTTCAGAAAGGATAATTTCTATTGGTCTGTTACCAGGATCACTCTCTCATCTCCATTCTTCCATTGGGAAGAATGAGTTTCTTCCACTGAGTTTTATTTCAGTTACTCTATTTTCAGTTCTAAATTTTCTATCTGGTTCTTTATGTCTTCTATTTCTTTGCCAAGACTCTATATATTTTTGAAAATATTTATTTTGAGAGAGAGAGAGCAAGTGAACAAGTGTGAGTGGGGGAGGCTCAGAATGAGAGAGAGAGAGAGAGAGAGAGAGAGAATCCCAAGCAGGCTTCTTGCTGTCAGCGCAGAGCCCAACGTGGAGCTCAATCTTACTAACTGTGAGATCATGGCCTGAGCCAAAATCAGGAGTCAGATGTTCAACCAACTAAGCTACACAGATGCCCCAAGACTTTATATATTTTAATTTGTTTCAAGAGGGTTCGTGAGTGCTCCTTGAAGCATTTTTACAAGTTATTTTAAAATTCTTGTTAGATAATTCTAATATCTATGTCATCTTGGTGTTGATATCTACTTATTTGCTTTCCTCATTGTATTTAAGATTTTCCTGACTCTTGAAATATTGAGTGTAATGAATTATTTTCTCTTGTACCCTGGACATTTAGAGTATTATGAAACTACAATTGCTTTTTTTAAAGATTATATTTTTAAGTAATCTCTACACCCGACATGGGTCTTGAACTCATGACCCCAAGATCAAGAGTCTCACACTCTACTGACTGAGCCAGCCAGGTGCCCCTATAATTCCTTTTTTTTAAATGTTTTTTATTTATTTCTGAGAGAGAGAGAGAGAGAGACGGCGTGAGCAGGAGAGGGTCAGAGAGAGAGGGAGACACAGAAACCGAAACAGGCTCCAGGCTCTGAGCTAGCTGTCAGCACAGAGCCCGACACGGGGCTCGAACCCACCAACCGTGAGATCATGACCTGAGCCGAATCCAACGCTTAACCGACTGAGCTACCCAGGCGCCCCTATAATTCCTTTTTAATACATGTTACTTCCAGGGGCACCAGGGTGGCTCAGTCGGTTAAGCATCTGACTTTCTAACCATAGTTTTAGAGAACTGAGAACTGGGCTATGTGTCTGAAATGGTTCATTCACATGACTGGCAGTTGGTGCCTAATGAGGGTAGAGCGTGGTGGTCACAAGGTGGTCATCCTTCTCATATGGCAACTAGGCTTCCGCCTGAGTGAGAGTCTCAACAGAACAAAGGAGAAGCTGCCTGGCCTTTTCTGACTTAGCCTCAGAAGCCACGTAGCACCTATGGTTATACATGAGCTACATAGATTGAAGGGAAAGGGACAGAATCCCTTCAAAATCTTTAAAGACGTGTTTTAAAACTACTACAGTCTTGGGGAGCCTGGGTGGCTCAGTCAGTTAAGCATCCAACTTCGGCTCAGGTCTCACAGTTAGTGGGTTTGAGCCCCACATTGGACTCTGTGCTAGCAGCTCAGAGCCTGGAGCCTGCTTCAGATTCTGTGTCTCCCTCTCTCTCTGATCACCCCTAACTTGCACTCTGTTTCTCTCTCCCTCAAAAATAAATAAAACATTAAAAAAAATTTTTTTAAATGTTTTATTTACTTCTAGGAAAGAGAGAGAGAGACAGTGTGAGCAAGGGAGGGTCAGAGAGAGAGGGAGTCACAGACTCCGAAACAGGCTCCAGGCTCTGAGCTGGCAGTCAGCACAGAGCTCGACGCGGGGCTCGAACCCACGAACCGCGAGATCATGACCTAAGCGAAAGTTGGACGCTTAACCGACTAAGCCTCCCAGGTGCCCCAAAACATTAAAAAAATTTTAATAAAATAAAATAAAAACGAGTATAGTCTTTCTTCTGGCCACAGGGGATTTACATTCCTTCCACATGCAAAATTCACTTTCTACAACCTCAAATCTCTCATTTATTTTGCATCAGGCTCATAGTCAAGGTCCACGATCTCATCATCTAGATCAGATCCAGAGGAGGTCACACCCCTGCCGGGAGTCTGGAACTCTGGAGCACTTCTGGAGGGAGGGAAGCTGGTGTAACTATTTGGGAAGGCAAAGATGATTATTTAGGACCGTACTGCCTGTAATAGTAGCCACATACATCAATTAAATTTAATTTAAAGAAAAATGAAAAAGCCTGGAAAATTAGTTCCTCCGTTGTACTAGCCAATTTTTTTTTTTTTTTGAGAGAGAGACAGTGAAAACAGCACAAGAGGGGCAGAGGAAGAGAGAGAGAGAATCTCAATCAGGCTCCATGCTCAGCATGGAGCCCAACACAAGGCTAGAAACCACAACCCTGGGATCATGACCTGAGCCAAAATCAAGAGTAGGAGACTCAACCAACTGAACTACCCAGGAACCCCTGCCCTGGCCAAATTTTAAGCACTCAATAGCTGCATGTGGCTAGCAGATACTGCACTGGACAGCACAGACATAAAACACTTCAACCTTTGAAGAAAGTTCTGTTGAACAGTGCTGACCAGACAGTATAAGTGCAGGTATGCCCTGTGCCCCAGAAATCCTACTCCTAAATACATGTCTTAGTCTGGAGTATCCCAAAGGCATGCTTTGAGCCAGAGGGACAGGTGATTTAGTGGAGGAGAAAAAAGCCAAAGTGGTGAATTGTCTGGGCTACAGTGAGACAAGTTGGGCACCCATAGCACTTGCCTGAACCCGAGGGTGCGTACCTCCCTAAGTTTGCACCCCAGCCTCCTTGCTCTTCCACCCTGGTGCCAGCTCGGAAAAGGTGACTGCTGTGGGCAACTCGAGCTCATTCCTACCGGGCGCCTTCCAAGGACCTGAGGAGTCATGCAGAACACAACTCAGAATCGACCCACTGAGGAGAAAGGAAGCAAAAGTATTTACTCGCTGCCTCCTAACTCTCACTGGCTGAAGATTGGCCCTGGAGAATTAATCTTGGCATTCCCAGGTGTGTTCTGCATGCAGACAGGAGAAAGTCCTCAGATGGAGAAGAAAGATAGAGTCATATGAGGTAGGAAGTTGTCAAGGTGTTTGAAAACTGCCCTCCAGGTCTACAAGTGAGTGAAAAAATTAACCGAGGGGATATGGTGGGGATCGCCGACTGGGGTGCTATGGTCTATCCTAGAAAACCTTCCACCGAGAGGATCTGAATGAGCCTTACAGTGATAGGGAGCTAGAGACAACCTAAGTGTCCATCCTTAGGGGAGCAGATAAGTAAAAGTGTTGTGCGAACTCCATGGAACACATTGTTGCAGTTAGAAATGGAGAACTTGGTGTACACCACTCTGTGGAGAGATTTCAGAAACAGTTATGTAAAAAAAAAAAAAGTGGGAGGAGAAATAGAATGAAATTTATTGCACAATCCCATGTATGCAAATTGGAAATACACATACACACGCAAAATCACAAATTATAAAGATACGTCTTCGCAGCCATATATCAAGTGCATTAAAGTGGATACCTGTGAGTGGGCGAGGTAGGAGTGGGGATCGGGTAGAGGAAGGGGGGTAAAACCTTAGAGAGTCTTTCATGGACCAATTGTGATGCTATGTTATGATCTGAAGAGTATGATTAATAACTTTCTGCACCTAAGGGCCAAGAAAGAAAAAAACAAAGGAAGGAAAAATATGAAGTATCTGTACATCAAAGCAATTCCCTACCTGCTACACAATTATTACCACAGAGGGGGTGAGGGTAACAGAGCAACCAGACTCTGCCTGCCTTCTGGAAGCCCTCCTCACTGCCTTCTCCCCAGGCAGCCTCCTCCCTCCCTTCCCCAGCAAGTTCTCTCGTCCCCTAGCAAAAGAGGAGCTCCCTCCCCTCTCGTGCTATCTTGAGGGAGAGAAAGGAGAGCTGGCTGGCTGTGACTCCCAAAGATTCCCATCTTCCTTGGTTGTATGCAGAACAGGGGGTAAGTGCATGGGATGTTAGGGAAGTCCTTTTTCTTTCCTGTGCCTCAGTTTACTCGCCAGTAAAATGGGGTTGATCACAAAAGTAACAATTCATAGGAATGCTCAGAGCTTAAAACGAGCTTCCAAAACAAGCTTGAATGGGCAAAACTCCCTCTCTACCACTCCGGCAGCCTCGCTCCCCTGCCCGGACCCCTGCCCTGCTGTGCCAGCTTCCTGTCCCTCTACCTGCCTGTGCCACAATCAGAGGATTCTCAAAGCTCCAGGAATTCCCACACTAGGTTCAGGGACTCCTTAGTTTCCTCCTGGGATCGAATTTCAAATTTCGGTTTCTCTTTCCATCTCTTAAGGCTGGGCGCTCACCTGGCCCCACCCACAAGTGTGAGCTCACCTGGTTCCAGCTGGCTCCACCCACTCATGCCTTTTAAGGCATTGTGAAAACCGCAATTTCCATTTGCCTTTTCACTTTACACACATCAGCACGATTGCTCACCTAGCCTGGCTCAAAAGGAGAGCCATGCAGCCAGAGAACAAGTTGCTTGCTATTTGGCCATGGCTGCTGCATGGGTCCTGGTGCTGATGACTGCAGGCCTGAGCTTGGCCAGAGCAGGCCCCGTCCCCACTTCCAGGCCCACCACAGCCTGGAGGGGCTGTGACATTGGCAGGTTCAAATCTCTGTCACCAAGGGAGCTGGAGGCCTTCAAGAAGGCCAAGGATGCTTTGGTGAGTCCCCATTGCTGTGGGCTAACCTCCACCCTCCCGCTATGGGCTAGCCTCTCACTTTTCAGCCACAGTTAACCCACTGTCCTTTCTGCTATGGATTAAACTCCAGCCCACCTTCATCCTTGCTGCTGTGGGCTAGCCTCCAGCCCTCCTCCTGGGGGCTCATCTCGCCTCTTATTCTCTAGGAAAATTCGCTGAAAAGCTGGAGTTGCACTGCCCGCCCCTTCCCTAGGAACCGGGACCTGAGACAGCTACGGGTGAGTCGGAAGTGAGGCCACCGTTACCTGCACCTGGCCCCTCGCCTCCTCTACCTCACCTGTGCTTCCTTGAGTCTGGTCTCTCCTCACCTGTCCTGTGTTCCCCCGACCCCCCTTTCTTCTTCAACTGCTCCCTTGACCCCGTCCCTCCCTTGGGTCTCTCCCTTGGGTCTCTTTTACCACTTCTCAGCCTGTCCCCACGTCCCTGTCACTTTCACCTGTCCCCATCACTTTCCCTCTTACCTAATTCCTTCTCGCTTCTCTCCTTTTCACTCCCATCTCTTCAAGCTTCCGTGACCACCGCGAGCCACCTTTCATTTGTCCCATTTCACTTTTTCACCTGTATCTTCCCTTATGTTTCCGCCTTCGCTTGTACACTCTTCGCCTGCACCCTTCTCCTGCCTCCCTCTCGCCTGACCCATCCCCGATCCTGTGTCACATGCGTCACAAACCTCCTGCCCTCCTTCCCTGCACTCCTGACCTGTCCCCACTTAACTGGGCCTTCTTGCCTACACTTCCTCACCCGTTCTTTCTCACCTCTCCGCAGGTGTGGGAGCGCCCCGTGGCCTTGGAGGCTGAGCTGGCCCTGACGCTGAAGGTCCTGGGGACCATGGCTGACGCGACCCAGGGGGATATCCTGGACCAGCCCCTTCACACGCTGCGCCACATCCACTCTGAGCTCCAGGCCTGTGTGAGTGCTGGGGGCACCCAGGCCGTGTTCGCGGGCTCTGGGCCTGTGGGACCTCACCCCCCTGCCCCAGGCCCTGCCTCACACGCCACCCTCCTCTGCCCCCAGGTGGCAGCTCAGCCCACACCAGGCCCCCAGTCCCAAGGCCGCCTCCACCACTGGCTGCACCGGCTCCGCGAGGCCTCAAAGAAGGTGAGGGACCCGAGAAGGAGACAGATGCCCAGGCCCTGTGTAAGGGGGGAGGTGGGCACCCCAGCAATGGCAGCCACGCTCTCTTCTCGCAGGAGTCTCAAGGCTGCCTCGAGGCCTCCGTCCTGTTCAACCTCTTCCGCCTCCTCAAGAAGGACCTGGAATGTGTCGCCAGTGGAGACCTGTGTGTCTGAGGACCCAGACCCACTCCTAGCCCATCTGGGACCCCAGACCTTATTTATGCGTGAAGCCCCTGCCTTAAGTTATTTCCTCTCGCCCCTTATTTATTGACCTGTGGCGCCGACCTAGATCCAAAAGCAATGCTTGTTTTTCTACTTTTATATGATATGCATCAATAAACAGTAAGGAGTTGGACCCTTCTGGGATAGGTGGATCTTTGAGTGCATGTACGCTTGTGAGTCTGTGACTGCATGTGGATGTCTGTGTGGTGCAGGTGAAATGGGTAACTGTATATTTATGTGTGACTGACTTCTTTGGCTGGGTGCCCGTATGGATTTAACTGAGTATCTGCTTGAACCTGAATCTGAGTGAAAATGCATAATGGCATGTTCACGCCCACTTGTGCAGGGGTGTGTGCCCTTAAGCACATGTTTATATGTCTCTCTGTCTATCCCTGTCTGTGGGAACTGGATAGCCCTCTCTTCCATGGGTACTTAGGACAGATGGAGGTCTAGACCAATCAAGTTGATTCATCCTGTAATACATATCAGAAAGCCAACTCAAATGGGGAAAGCAAAAACAGGTTCCATTATCACAAATAAGAAACAGTCAGCTGGGCGGGGGCGGGGAGTTCCAGGACTGGCTAATTAATTAATATTCAACAATGTTATTGGGGAACCAAATTCTTTCCATTTCTTTTTTTAATGTTTATTTATTTATTTTGAGAGAGAGAATGCACACGTGTGTACATGGCAGAGAGAAAATCCTAAGCAACCTCTGTGCTGTCAAGCAGAGCCCAATGTGGGGCTCAATCCTGCGAACCTGTGATCATGACCTGAGCCAGAATCAAGAGCCAGATGCTTAACTGACTGTGCCACTCAGGCACCCCAGGTTCTTTCCATTTCTGTTGGCTGATTTTTTGGGGGGGTTGGGGGGAGAGAGAGAGAGCGGGGAAGGGGCAGAGAGAGAGGGAAAGAGAGAGAATCCCAAGCAGTCTCTGCACTATCAGCATGGAACCCGATGTGGGGCTCGAACTCATGAACCATGAGATCGAGACCTGAGCCAAAGTCGGATGCTTAACCAACTGAGCCACCCAGGTGCCCCTATTGGCTGATGCTTACTCTGGCTACCTCATGGTCTCAAGATGGCAGCCACAGCTCCAGCTGTCGCACACAAACAATATCTTCCAAGTCATCACCAACCACCTCAAACTTAATGGAGTAGAACAGCTCACAGCTTCTGTGGGTCACGAATTTGGACAAGGCCCGATGTGAATAGCTTGCCTCTGCTCTGGGGCCTTGGCTCTTTTCCCACAGTCTCACCTTCCAGAGAAACTCCCTGTTGGATGTGCACGCTTGTCTTCTTGGCTAGAATTCAGTCACCTGCCCAACCCTAAGGCAATCAGTAGCAAGAAAGATAATTACAAAGATAGCGTTAGGGGAGTCTGGCTGGTTAGGTAGGAAGATCATGTGACTCTTGAGCTCAGGGTCATGAATTTAAGTCCCATGTTGGGTGTAAAGATTACTAAAAAAAATAAATAAAAACACTTAAAAAAAAGATCGGGGCAGGGCGCCTGGGTGGCTTAGTCGGTTAAGCGTCCGACTTTCGCTTAGGTCATGATCTCGCGGTTCGTGGGTTCGAGCCCCACGTCGGGCTCTGTGCTGATACTGCAGAGCCTGTTTGAGATTCTGTCTCTCCCTCCCCCACTTGAGTGTTTGTGCATGTGCTCTCTCTCTCTCAAAATAAATAAATAAACTTTTAAAAATTAAGATCGGGGCAGGGCGCCTGGGTGGCTTAGTCGGTTAAGCGTCCGACTTTCGCTTAGGTCATGATCTCACGGTTCGTGGGTTCGAGCCCCGCGTCGGGCTCTGTGCTGACTGCCAGCTCAGAGCCTGGAGCCTGTTTCAGTCTGTGACTCCCTCTCTCTCTGACCCTCCCCTGTTCACGCTGTCTCTCTCTCTCTCTCTCCTAGAAATAAAAAAAATAAAAATAAAACTTAAAAAAAAAGATAGCGTTGGACTAATCAAAATTCACCCCTGATACTAGAAAGAAGGCCTTTCCCTGAAAACATGCCCTATGGAGAGAGAATACCAGAATGAACTAGCCCCACCCATTCCATCTCACCCTGGGCCCCTGGAATCCCTAGACCTCTCCACAATTCAGAACCCAAAGAATTAGGGCCACCTGGGTGGCTCAGTCGGCTAAGCATCCGACTTTGTCTCAGGTCATGATCTCAAGGTTCGTGAGTTCGAGCTCTGCATCAGGCTTTGTGCTGATACTGCAGAGCCTGTTTGAGATTCTGTCTCTCCCTCCCCCACTTGAGTGTTTGTGCATGTGCTCTCTCTCTCTCAAAATAAATAAATAAACTTAAAAAAAAAAAGAATTAGTACCTGTTGCAGAAAGGATGGGGGATGGGGCGGTTCCAGGATCCTCTTCAATGTGTGGCCACCGTGCATTCTGATTCTAACAATACCAGAGATTAAATAGTCCACTGGCATCCCCATTCATGCCTGGTATGTGCTGTGACTTTTTAAAAGTGGCCACAAATTCTTTGACATTCCTCCCTTTAAGAGGTGGAGTCAATGCTCCCCCATTGTTGAACTTGGACTTGTGACATCTTCCACCAATAGAGTACAGTGGAAGGCAAGACGAGTGACTTTCAACACCAAGTCCACTTAGCGTTCTTGGAACATGAGTTCTCAGACTCTCCCCATGCGAACCCAATTGCCAGGATGCAAGAAGCCCAAACCACATGACAGTCCCAGCTCAGCTCGGTTTTGAAGCCATCCTAGCTCAGGAACCAGACACGTGAGTGGAGAAGCGTCCAGATGATTGCAGCGCCCAGCTGGGGCAGAGACAAGCCATCCCCTATCCCCACTGTCCCATGATCAAGCTCCCGACCCATTCAACCTGGGAGCGTAACAAAATAATTTTTGTTTTATGCCACTAAGTTTGGGGTTTTGTGAAGCAATAGATAATTGGAAATAGTGTGACAGCCACCAGCCCATCGCAATCACTGGGTGGCGTGTTACAAGAAATTTATTACCAAGAGTAGCTCACTGAGGTTTCCGACTGGTTGAGTTTTTTTGTTTTTGTTTTATTTATTTCTAGGAGAGAGAGAGAGACAGTGTGAGCAGGCGAGGGTCAGAGAGAGCGGGAGTGACAGACTCTGAAACAGGCTCCAGGCTCTGAGCTGGCAGTCAGCACAGAGCCCGACGCGGGGCTCGAACCCACGAACCGCGAGATCATGACCTAAGCGAAAGTTGGACTCTTAACCGACTAAGCCACTCAGGCGCCCCCCGACTGGTTGAGTTTTTATCACATGACAGGGGTTTCAGAAATATCCCCATAGCTTCTAACACTTACTCTGTTGCGTTCTCACGTGTTTTCTGTTAGGAGACAAAGGTCATGAGTACAGTCATATTCCAGAAATTACACACAACCCCTTAGCCACCTCTAGGGTATTATACGGTGTGCAAGTGACAGTGCCCCAGTTTGGAAGGGGGCAGCAAGTTGCCCAGCCCATGGCATGAATTTCTCGCCCCTTGCTTGACTCCTGCTTCTCAGGACTCCCTTGCATTCGGAATGGCCGTCCGACTGAAGGGCTTCTTAAATGATTTAATTTATGTAAAGAATTTAAAACAGCTCTCGGCATAGGTTAAGCCCCATAATTGTGTTTATTGCTGTTACTCTTATTATTTTAGATTTTTTTTTCTTCCCTGACACAAAGAAAACTCTCCCATTTGTTCCCTTCCTTCCTGCTCAGTTCACTCGTATGAGGTTGTGACATCTGGAGCTGCGGTAGCCATTTTGTGACCAAGAGGCAACAAGCCTAGCATACGAAACTATTCTTCTAAGGAAGGTAGAATGGAAGAGTAGGAAAATGGGTCCTTGGTGATATCGATGAGCCATTACATCAGATCTCCAAACCTTGAGACTTCTTGTTAAATGATATCACCACATGTCTTAAGTCATATTAATTGGGTTTTCTGTCTTTCACAGCCAAATATACCTTCACAAATATGTCTCTGTATGCCCAGCATAGAACCTAGAGAAGGTAGTTAATATTTAATACCATGGGGTGCCTAGCTGGCTCAGTTGGTAGAGCATGCAACTCTTAATCTCAAGGTCATGAGTTCAAGCCCCATGTCGGGCATAGAGCCTAGGAGATACCTGAATTTTGACCTATGACCCTCCTCAATATGAGTGCTGTAATGGAAATAAGGTTGCAAATCCCTTCTGGGAAATGCCAAGCCTTACAAAATTGTTTGAACTTGATGTATTTTGGTTTTGCCTGTTCAGCATCCATTTATCCTGGTAAAACGCCTCAGTTTTCCTTTGGGGAATGACCCTGTTTTCCTACTCCTTCATTTGCTTGGACACAGGAGTCAGGTTTGCTCGATTGGAGCACACCATCTCCAGAGCACAGTGGCAAGCCTTCCCTTGACCCCACACCCGCCCATCATGAGAGCCTCTGTGTCAGCTGTTCCCTGCGCCTCAGACATAGGCTATTACTCCCCTATCACCACAAAGTCTTTACCCGGCTAGTTCCCACTCATCTCTTGCGTCTCACCTAACATCACCTTCTCCTTCAAAAATCTTTCTGCACGGTGCACTGGGCTTCCTATTGCTTTTATCTGGCTAAAACCTTCCCAGCCTACTTTTCTGGCGACTATTTAGGTTCAACCATGTGAAATTGCCAAGGTTCTGCCGTTTCTAACCTACAAAACTGGCGATTTCATATGGTTCAACCTAATTATTATTTTGGTACTCCCCACCCCCTCCCTCCAGGTCACAACACCCAGACCCATGACCCCCACCTGGCCAGTCAAAACATTACATTCCTGGGGTGTCTGGGTGGCTCAGTCCATTAAGCATCTGACTCTCAGTTTCAGCTCAGGTCATGATCTCATAGTGAGTTCGAGCCCCCTCATTGGGCTCCATGCTATTAGTGTGGTGCCTGCTTGGAATTCTCTCTCTTCCTCTCTCTGGTCCTCCCCCACTTACTTTCTCTCTCTCTCAAAATAAATAAATAAACTTTTAAAAATTATAGTCCTTTAGGGGCGCCTGGGTGGCTTAGTCGGTTAAGCGTCCGACTTTCGCTTAGGTCATGATCTCGCGGTTCATGGGTTCGAGCCCCACGTCGGGCTCTGTGCTGACTGCCAGCTCAGAGCCTGGAGCCTGTTTCAGTCTGTGACTCCCTCTCTCTCTGACCCTCCCCTGCTCACTCTGTCTCTCTCCCTCTCTCCTAGAAATAAAAAAACCTTAAAAAATTTAAAAAAAAATTAAAGTCCTTTAGATGCTACAGTCAGTGCTGGGGTGGTATGTAATTCCAGTCAAACCAATCAGAGCCCTTCCCTGATTTGTTTTTTCATTTAGGATTGGAGGAGTTTTTTGCCATTTTACCTTTAGGCGATGGGTCTTGAAGCATCAAGTCTGTGTCTGTAAATAAATGGCCATTGCCCCCACCACATGTGGTTGAAGAGCATGAATCTGAGCTGGGAGAAGCATAGAGGAGAAATGAGTGAGAAAAGCGTCTGGTGGAATTGAACCTGGGTTCCAGTCTCTAAGGCCAAGTTCCTTGTAGCTCTACTCTTCATTGTCTGCTTCCCAGATATATGAGCCAACAATGCCCACTTTTTATGTCTGATCTAGGGAAGCTGAGCTCCTGTCACTCACTACCCAAAGACTCAGACTAATACATGTCCTTGAATCTCTGATCAGGGTCAGCTCTGCTGGGCTCCCACAGCCTCCTGTACTTCTTACAGCAATACGGCTGAGGTTGCCCTGGGCCCCAGGAAGGCAGGCACTGGGTCTGTCTCAGCTGCTGCTGGGTCTTCAGTGCCCAGTACGGCCGGGCACAGAAGAGATACTCAATCATTTCCCTTGGATGATACTATGCCCTCTCTCTCCTATATACCTGTTCCTTGGGTTTAAAGCTCTCAATTTTTTAATTTTTTTAAATTTTTTTTTGAGAGAGAGAGAGAGCCAGGGAGGGGCAGAGAGAGAGGGAGAGAGAAGTCTTAAGCAGGCTTTGAGCTGTCAGCACAGAGCCCAAGGCAGGGCTTGAATTTTCAAACTGTGAGATCATGACCTGAGCGGAAACCAAGAGTCAGACCCTTAACTGAGACACCCGGGTGCCCCTTAAAGCTCTCAATTTTGAAAATCAAGCATGGCATTGACATTGATAAATACTTCTCTACTAAAATGAAGGGGTTACAGGTGAAGGAAGGTGGATGGAGTGTTGTCCAAAGGGCCGAATTGGGGGCCGTGTTGGCCCCAGAGGTATCAGTGGGTAGATGCCAAACTCTGAGATGGCAGTTCCGGATTCGGTTTCAAAGGCATGTACACCCCACCCCAAAGCTGGGGTCTCCACAGAAATCAGACCATACAGTACCTCTACAGGAAACCCTCCACTGGCTTCCCACAGCTCTGAGAATAAAATCTGGGCTCTTGACCCCAGCCCACATGGCTCTTTAGAATCTGTTTCCCTGCTTACCTCTCCCACCTCTCCCCCTCCCTCTCTCCCCCACCCCCCACCTCCCGCCTCCAGTCCAGAGATACTACCTCCCACACACCAAGCACATGCTTCCTTCAGGGGCTTTGCATGTGCCATTCACTCTGCCTGAAATGCTTTTCCCTGCCCCTTCCTACAATGGATTTCTTCAGCTCCAGCACCACACTCTTTGAGCCCCTGATCTGAAGGCCTCCCCCCTCAGTCCTTGTCCTCTCTCATTTTCATTCTTTACATGACACTTATTTACCACCAGACATGTTTACTGTCACACCCTCCCCCCGCCCCCTCCCAGCCTGTGGAATATAAGCTCCTCCACAGGGCAGGGGGTTCTTGTTCTGTTTAACTATTTTGTTCACTGTTGTATCCCCTGCACGGGGCCAGGCACACGGTACCTGCTCAAGAAAGCTTTATTGGGTGAATCAGAGACAATATAGTCAGATGGTCAGGTGTGCAGGATTTGAAGGCAGTCCGCTTTCCAATGCGGCTCTGCCCTTTGGTGGCTGTAGGGTCTTGGGCAAGCTCCTCAACTTCTCTAAACTTCAGTTTCTTCTAGAGAATCGGACGCACACACTACACACATCTGTTGCAGCGTATAAATGCCATCATGCTATCTGAGTGACTCCATTTTGCTGGGCACTGGCTTGCACGCTCTCTACTTGCATCAGGGAGGGCTTGTGAGCTCAGTGCCCGGCGTGTGGGAAGCCCTCCACAGCCGGGAGTCGTGATGACTGAGATAGAGGAGTGTGGCTGGGCCACTGGGTGAGGGAGCCTCGTGGAGTGTGAGTCCCTGGTGCTTCCTGTCCTTGCTGCTTCCCACCGTGTCTGCCCAGATCATCCCCCTCCCTCCTGCTTTGTTTCTATTCCTGTCTTAAGCTCTCCTCCTCCCCAGGCCTCAGGGGGCCCCTGGCTGGCAAGAAGCCTTCTTCCTCCTTCTCCAGGATCAGGGAGGAGCTTTTACAGCAGGCCCCCTCCCCGCCAAGGGCTGGGGCACCCCCACTGGACTAACTGCCCTTCCCCAGCCATAGCCCTCAGTCTCACCTGAGAAACTCCTCCCCACACACCATTCTCTGTGTTCCCAGCGGACCTAGGATCTCTCAGATTCCATGCAGTGACCAACGAGCATTTTGCCTCATCCCCTTCCCCAGGCTGACTTTGGATACCCCTGCTCAGCTAAGTAAGGTCTTTCTGGTAAGTAAGGGCCATTCCCTGGCTTCCAGACAGACGCCAGAGGCAATATAGTATAGTAGTGAGGCGTACTGAGGTCAAATTGCCAGCTCCCCCATTTTCTCATGTGGGGGCCTTGGGCTAGTCACTTTCATTTCTCCCTGGTTCAGATTCCTGGCTGTAAAATGGGATTAAACATATCCACTTCAAACAGCTAGCTGTCTGACCTCAGAGCGCTGAGCTGTGCTTAGCACAATGCCCATGTGTGGAATGGACATCCACCAGCTGCTCAGAAGTAGAGTTCTATGGTTAAGAATACAGACTCAGAAGTCAGGCTGCCTGCCTTTTTAAAACCCGATTTTGCTACCTCCTGTTCTGGTTACATGACCTCGGGTAAGTTACTTTTCTGAGCTCAGTTTCCTCATCTGCAAAACAGGATAAACAGTGCAGATGTACCAGGGTTGTTCGGAGGATTAAACGCCTTTAAGTGCTTGACACCCACTAAATGTTAGCTATTATTTTTATTACTCACCTCTACAACAGGAAACTATCTGCAAGTCTCCCAGGTCACAACTAGCCATCCTTCCTTCTCACTTGAGTCCTAATGCTGTTAATTCAGGTCACACACACACATACCCCCTAAAACACACAGACACACAGAGGTCAGCCAGAGCGGCCTCAGACACAGAAAAAACTTTAATTCTGCTGCGGCGGAGGGTCCCGGCTCCGGCAGGGAGGGGAGGATTTGGTTTTGGATCTTGTTCATGTGGGGATTTATTTGGGGAAATTGGAAGGGATAGGGGAGAGTCTGGTCCTTCCGGTGGGACCTGCCCGGGAGTGTGTGTAGTGGGAAGAGGTAATCAGGAGAGATAGGGAGACTGGACGAGATATGGGAGGGAGAAGAGACGACAAGAGAGAGAGAGATAGGGAAGGCCAGAGACAGGAGACAAAGACGACAGAGGGTGGGACGGAGACGAAAGGAACAGAGAGAGGGGGACCCCAAGCCAGACCCGACGGGACCAGGGAGGTGAATCGGGTGGGGGTGGGGGCTTTGGAGGCCGCCGCGGGACAGAATAGGATCTAGTCCAGCCAGATACAAGAAATGGGCCCCTCGCCCCTGCCCCGGGTCCGGGTCCCGGGCGGGGGGAAGGGGCTCGTGTCTCAGTGCTGCAGTGTCGGGGGGGCCCTGCCCCTCCCCGCGCTTCGCTGTGTAAGGCACCGGCTCCAGCTAGGTCCGCGAGCGCGCGGGGGGAGGGGCAGGAGGGGGCGAGGAGTCCTTGGAGGAGGGGGGCCCGGCTGCCTGCCCCCTAGCTCCCCCGGGCCCGGGGGCGCAGCCAAGAGCAGCAGGCGAGGCAGCCTCGCCCCCTTAAGGGAGGAGAAGGGCGCGTCTCCCCGCGCCGCGCTTTCTCCCCCGAGTCCTGCCCCAGCGTCCGGGTGGCTGGGCGTTTGTCCGCGGCACCCAGGCGTCCCGGCGCCCGCCCGCCGCTCACACGGTACTCTCCAGCATCCACTCGGTGCTGGTAAAGGCCAGGCGTGCCCTGGCGGAGCCCAGCCCCAGGTCCCCGTCCTCCCCGGCCGCGCCCCCTCCGGCCCCGTCCAGGTGCGGCGTGGACCGGTGGCGCTTTGTCCGCCGGGCGCGGCGCGGGTAACTGTGGCTCTGGAAGAGCGCCCCGTAGTCCCCGTCGAACGAATAGCGCTGCTGCGGCCTCGGCCGGGCCGGGGCCCCCCCAGGAACCAGAGCTAGAGTGGGGGGCGCCGAAGCTGGCGGCCCCAGAGCCCCGGAACGGCTCCTCCGAGGGCCCGCCGCGGCCCGAGACTCCTCCCCAGAGGTTTCCTCAGACGGCAGCAGGCACAGCGAGGTGGCTGAGCCGCCCAGGGAGCGTCCGAGGACGGCCTCCGGCTCCGTGGAAGCCATCTCGGCGGCGGTGGCCTTCGCCTCGACCGCCAAAGCGGCAGCAGCTGGGGACGCCACCTCGCGCAGCGCCTCATAACGGTCTTCCGCCGGCGGGGGCGGGGCCTGCGATGCGCCTGCGCCGTTGGTCTGAGAGCACACGTGGCTGACTCGCGGAGGCGACCTGGAGGTACCCTTGACGCGGCGGCCATCTCCGTCGCCGTAGACCTTATAGCGGATCATGAGCAGAACGATGAAGACCAGGACCGAGGCGACGATGACGCCCCCGATGGCGATGATCATGGTGCCACCCAGGAAATGGGCCCTCAGTGGGCGGCAGGGCGCGGGATCTCCGGCAGTGGTAAACTGCACACAGCCCACCACTCGCGTGGCGGGCAGTGCAGTGGCCCCGTCGTCGTAGACTGCCAGCACGCACAGGTCGTAGGCGCGGCCTGCTGCCAGATCATTCACCAGGAAGGTCTGGCTGGTGGATGGGATCATCCTGCGGGAGGGGACGGCATCAGCGCTGCGTTAGCTCCGCTATGAATGCTATGAATGGTACCGCTTCCTTTGCATGCCCCGCCCATGGTGACCAATAGGGACCAAACCATGCGTCCCTACCAATATTTCACCCTCTATGGGTCAATAGCAGCCATTCAAGCAACACATTTCCATCCTATCAGGACCCCTGCTACGGGCCACAACCGTTGTGTGCAAGCCCAGACCTCAGAAACACGCCCTGTGATGTCGCATCACCTACTAGGATACTATCTGTCATTCGTGTTCCCTTATCTACTTATCCTGGCCCCTGCCTGGGAGGAGTGCTATAGCTTTTAAGTCTTGCCCTTAAAGAGCACGCCTTTAATTTGGGACAACTGCCATTCAGGGTCTCTGATCTACATAGTTCCATCCTTTAAGGGGCCCCAATAGTATAGCCCACCTCCCATTTCCTGCGTGTCCCATCCTCACGCAAGTGGACACTGAGGTCAACTCACACCCCCTGTCTTACTCCTAACAGGACAATGGATGCTCTTCTAGGTCCTTTTTTCTATGTGTCCCCATCCTTTCTGGGAAACCAGATATAGGCCATGCCCCGCATCTCCACATCCCACCTTGGGTACATACATCTACCTGCCTCTGTCTATTTCCAAGCCCCTCAACTACATATTCCCAGCCACCAAGGGGCCCTGGCCATAGGCCACGCCCCTTCTGATTGACGGGTGGCTTCCTAGCCCTCCACAGGGCCTCCTAGAGATGGTTTCCCTACTGTGCCTGGGACCATGTCTGCTCTTTGCATGTCCTGCAGTCAATCACCTTGTGTTCATGCTGTGCCCCACACCACCAGCTGTCGAAATCATGCCCCCAGGGTAAGTTTCATCCACAAGCGCGTCAAAGGTAACCAACCAAGCATGCCACCTTCTTGCATTAGGCCCCTGCCCTCTAATGAGGGACCGTGCAAAGAAGTGGTTATGCTGACAAAGCCTGGGAGCCTGTGTTTGAGTCTCTCCTCTGTCCTTTGCTAGCTCTGTGACCTCAGGCACATCTCTTAACATCTCTGTGCCTTGTTTCCCCAAAATGGAGATAGTAAGAATTTCTTCTTCATAGAGAGAGTGTGAAGTATGAATGAGCTAACACACCTAAAGCCTGGCACTGGATAATTTCACCATCATTAGCTTGCACCCCACCCAGTGCTGGCCCGTAACACTTGCTGTGGCTCACACTTCACTGCCAGCGGCACTCTTCCCATCTGTAAGACCATTCCCACTAGGCCTTGACCCTCTTCGGTTGGGCACATCCCTTCTGTTCTGTTGGCCATATCCAGCCTTGGCTAAGCCACGACTGCCACTGCCACATGGATGCGTATGCCCAGCACTCAACCTCACAAGCTCCCCCCACCTATAAAACTCATAGTGGGTCACCAGAGACAAGGACTGTCACCTGTCTTCCCCAAGACCCTGTGGCAGGAGCTCCAGCTCCTCTGAAAGGCCACGCCCCCCATCCACAGGCCTCTTGCCCTGAAGCAACTTCACATTCCTTCTAACAAGCCACCTCTGCTACCTCTGGTCCTGAAGCCCACCTCCGCTGCCTTATACCAAGAGCCACCCTCTTCAAAACAAAAGATTTCAAGTAAGCCCTCCCCCCATAATGGCCTACCCCGCGTTTCCAACTCACCCCCACGTGCCATTTCACACACTGCCCCCCACCCCTTCCAACCTTGGGCCCCTGGCTGTGAGCCTTACTCTTCCTGCCATCTCTCTTCCCAAAGAGACTTGGATTTCTCTTGCTCCTTTCCCCCCAAAGTAACCAGTTGCTAGGGGCTCCCCACTTTTCAAGGGCAGAAGCTAGCTCCTTAAGAAAGCTTCAGCTTATGTGTCTGTAATTGGCTGGAAGACCCAGGCAAGCAGCAGGGCAGGCTTCTGGTTGGATGTCACCTCCGCCCATGGCAGCAGTGAGGAGGTTAACCCCTGCAGCACCGTAGCACAGGCATCTGCGATGGGGGACAGAGGACTGGAACTGTGGCCTTGAGGGGAAAGGAAGAGACCAGGGGTTTGTTGCCCTGCTGGGGACAGAGGGCCACCCCATCATCTGCAGACATGCATGGTCTGAGGGTCTGTGAACCTCCCCTCACCCCACCACATAGAGGCCAAGAGTTCAAGAAAAAGAAACAGGGAAGTGGAGAGTCACAGAAGCCAAAAGTTATTGACTGGAATGTATTATCCTTCTCCCCTAATCCTTGCCTGGCAAACAGTAGGGGCTCAATAAATGTGTGTTCAGTGTATAAAGGGCACGATTAGGAGTTAGAAGGGTAAGGGCTGGAATCCTGGCTCTGCCACTTCCTCCGTGACCTTGAGCAAGGGATTCCCCCCACCCCCCGCCCACTGAGTCTCAGTTTCCCTGTCTATAAAATGGGAAGGGGGATCATCACTACCTCCTGGCAGAGTCGGGAAGATCAAAAAAGAGAGCACAGGGCCTCATACAGAGCAGGGGGGCTCAGTGCCTAATAAGGGCAGGAGGGAGAGAGAGTACAGCCAGACAGAGGCAAAAGCAAGAGAATAACGGAGATGATGGGAGAAAGTAACCCTTCAATGCCTGTCTACACCGCGCAGATCTGTCCACACCAGCGCAAGGGCTTCTAACCCAGTGGACGGTGGAAATAACTTAGGGGTGTCTATAAAACAAGAGGGGACCTCCTCATTGCTTCACAACAAAGCGGAGAAGATCAAATGATCATTTTATGTTTTTCTCATACCTTCTGTTTCCTGTTCTGTAATGTACCTGGTGTGCTAACACTGGCATGGGTCAGTCATGAGCGTGTGAGTATGTTTCATGTTCCAAAATGTTCAACTGACCAGGTACAGAGTCAAACACCCTTGGCCAGGAGTGACCAGACCGTGAACCCCAGAGAGCAGGGATGCTGCTGGCACATTCGCCGTTGTAACTCCAGTGCCCAGCCCTCCTCTGGCTTGTGTGTGTTCTCAACCAAGATTTACTAAATGCAACAAAACCGGAAAGAGATAGTGAGACAGAAATAGAAGGAGACAGGGGAATGAGGGCCCAAGACAACGCCGTGTGGCCCTCTAAGAACCACAGCTGAGCGAGAAGACCAAGGGAGTAGGCAGCTGGGAGCAGGGGCCCTGGAGGAGGCGGCCCGGGACTGCAGCACCCACCTGTAGACAAGGGAGTCATCCGCGGAGCTGTTGTACTGGACCTGATACATGCGGATGCCAGGCACGGGCCTCTGGGCCGGCCAGCGGATAAGCACCGAGTTCGAGGTGAGCTCGGCCGCCACGAGCCGGCGCTCAGTGGCCGATTCGTTGGCACCAGGTCGGCCGGGGGTGGCGATGTCAGAGGAGCCAGGCTCGGTGAGGGGTGGCGGGGCAGCGGGCGGGGGCGCCATCAGAGGCAGGGGTACCACACACACCTCCACAGGAGCCGTCGCTTCCCCGGCGGCGTTAGAGGCAATGCACGTGAAGGTGCCACTGTCCCTTAAGGTGGTGATGGTCACATCCAGCGTCCCATCCCCCCGAACCCGGGTCCGGCTCGAGTTCCCCAGCAACCGCCCATCGGGGGCGACCCAGTGGACCACGGGCTCAGGGTCGCCCACGGCGCGGCACCGGAGGCTGACCGCCTGGCCCTCCACCACCAAGGCCCGGCCCCCTGCCTGCCGCGTAATCAGCGGGGGTTCACACAGGAACTCCTCCTCGGGGATGGACCAGAAGTAGCGGTCGGTGAGGTGCTCGGGGGTGGCGCACGTCTCCAGGTCGTCCTCTCGGGTCAGCCGCCGCAGCCACAGCAGCTCACAGTTGCAGTGCAGCGGGTTGCCGCCGAAGCTGACCGTGAGCGGCGTGGGCGGCTTCGGCCCTGAGCCCTGGGACCTCAGGAAGAGCCCGTCGGGGGGCAGTTTATGGAGGCGGTTGGAGGTCATGTCCAGGCGAACCAGTTTGTGCAGCTGCACAAAGGTACCTTCAGCGATATGGTCGATGAGATTGTGGTCCAGCGTGAGGGTGTTCAGGTTCACCATCTGGCCCACGGCCTCCCACGGCAGGGCCTCAAGATTGTTGTAGGACAGGTCCAGGTCCTCCACGGTGGACAGGAAGGCGTCTAAGGCGGCCGACTCGACCCGGCGGATCTGGTTGTTGCCAAGGATTAGGTGGCGGAGGTTGCCCAGGCCGCGGAGTTGGTCGCCCCGCACCTCGGCCAGGCGGTTGCTGTCGAGGTGCAGGGCGCGCAGGGCGCGGAGGTCAGCGAAGGCGCCGGCGGCCACCTGGCCGATGGTATTACGGGATAGGGTGAGGTGCACCAGGCTGGTCATGTTGGCGAAGTCTCTGCGGCGGACGGCCGCGATGAAGTTGTCGGTGAGCCGCAGCTCCACCACGCGCCGGTCGATGGCCGGCGGCACGAAGAGCAAGCCGGTCTTGGCGCACAGCATGGTCAGCGTGGGCGCCACGTTCTGGCAGATGCAGCGGCCAGGACAGGGCTGCCCGCGGGATGCCCCGGCCCAGAGCAGCAGCAGAAAGGGCAGGGCGGCAGGTGGCGGCGAGGGGAGCGCCGAGGAGAAGGGGCCCGGAGCCATGGTGCAGAGGGAAGACGGGAGGAGCGGAGCGTGAGACCTGCAAGGGAAGGAGACGGGTTACCCAGGCACAGGGCTTGACCACCAGCCTGGCCACCCACCATGTCCATCTACTAGAAGTCTGTCCCAGGCCCCTGCCTTCCTGACATCTGGGGCCCAACAGCCGCAGGACTGATCATCACCTGGCATGTATTTGTCCTTAACAGACAATATTTCCATGCTGGTTGGTAAATTACACTGCCCCCACCCCCAGGGTCCTAATCCCAACTCTGACCTTCCTCTAAGAGACCCAGACCTCTCATGGTTTCCCAACCAGAGGGGTGCAGTGACACCTGGCCCAGTCTGGGCCTTCCAGTACCCAGGAAATATTTTTAAATCCCAGGGTTGACTAGGGTTTAAGGTCATGGATTTCAAAGCCAGCATCCCTGGGTTCCAATTCCAGCTCCGACACTTACTAGCTATGTGACCTCGGGCAAGTGTCTGAACCTCTCTGAATCTCGGTTTCCTCATCTGCAAAATGGAGATAAAAACAGGCCTTACCTCTGTGAGGATTAAACAGATTAATGAGCATAGTGTACTTAGAACCGTGCCTGGCACCTAAAATGTGTTCAATACACGTTGGTAATTATTCTCATCATGATCATCAAGGGCCCACTATGTGCCAGGCATAGAAGTCTGTGCATTATTATTAAGAGTAAGTGCTCTGAAATCAAAAAGACTCAGGTTCAAGTCCTAGCTCCCCACTTGCTAGCTCTGTGACCGCAAACCAATGATTTCCCCTAACTAGGCCATAATTTCCTAATTTGTGCAACGGGATGACAATCACAGCATCTTCACTGGGTTGTTGCAAGGGCTCATTCATGGGGGCTACTGAGCACAGGGCCTGACACACAGGAAGTATTCAGTAAATGTTAAGGATAACCCCCCCGCCCCCACCCACCCACCCACCCACACACACACACACACACACACACACACTTGGGAGTGGCAGAGGGAATCTGAAGGTAGGAGGCGCTGAGAAAAACACAGCAGTCTTCAGGCTCAGCCTTGGGAAGTCCTTCTCTGAACCTGGTTTCATCCTGGGCTCTGATGGGCTCCCAAGCAGCGGGCAGACTTCCACGCTCACATCAGTGGGCACATACAGAGCCCCATACGTGCCCACACTCACACACACCCTCACACACTCACGCTATGCCTCTGCTCCAGGCAAAACCTTCCGGCGGGGATTTCCCTGCGGCGGCTGCAGCCCACGGCATGTCAGCTCCCATCACAACACCGGGTGGGTGGGTGGGGGGGGTGAAGAGGGAAAGATGGGAAGGGGGCGTCCCCGAAACTGTTTTCACCCCACCCCACACCTAGTCCCTGCTGGCCCACCTCCTAGGGATCTGCAGTTTGGGGCTGTGGCTGCTGTGGCCTTGATCCTTCAGCCCTTGGGGAGGGGGACCAAGAGAGTCAGAGAGAGAGAGGGGCATAGAGATGGAGAGACAAGTGGGCAAGGGGGGAGATGGACTGGCAGACACAGGGAGACAGAGTCAGAGAGAGAGAGACAAAGGGCCAAAAAGAGAACGAATCTGAGGGGTGCCTGGCTGGCTCCGTCAGTAGAGCATGTGACCCTTGATCTCAGCATGGTGAGTTCGAGCCCCACATTGGGCAAAGAGCTTACTTGAATGAATGAATGAATGAATGAATGAATGAATGAATGAAAAGAGAAAGACTCTGAAAGAAAGGTGCAAAGGCAAGAAGCCAGCCTGACACCAAGACAAGCTGAAGCACTAAGAAAGGAGACAGGCAGAAAAGGGCATTGAGTCCAAGAGATGGGGGGAGGAAGAGTGAGGGAGAGGCAGGAAGAGATCCTAAGAGATTACAGAGAGAGACCAAGACGGAGGAAGAGATAAGAGACAGACAGTGCCTGGGCTGGAGAGAGAAAAAGAGGCAGAGGCCGGACGTCCCGCCATCTCTGAGCGGCCCCCACCATTAATTTGTCTTGCGCCCCGCCTGCCATCAAACTCTGAAAACACAAAAGTGACATCTCCTGAGTTGGGAGGCCCAGCTCTGCACCTGCCTGCCTGTGGGGCCGCTTAGGCTCAGAACCCCAATCTGTGAAACAGAAATACCCAGTTTTGCCCTCCCACAGCTGGGGTGGGACTCGAATAAGAGCAATGAAAACAGCTAACATTTATTGAGAGGTAGTGCAGCACTGCAAGAAAGAATCCGGGCGCTCGGGTTCACACCCCAGCTCCCTGCTGCGTGACTTGAATCAAGTGACTTCCCCTCTTTGTGCCTCAGGGTGCTCCTCTGTAAAATGGGAATAATGATAGCACCTACCTCATGGGGTTGTTATGGGGATTCAGAGACAATACACTGTAACGTGTAGAATAGTTCCTGACACGCTGAACACGACATAAATGTTAGCAGCTATTATTAATATCATTATTATTATTATTATTATTATTGTATCATTTTCTCTGGCTCTCTCTCAGCCACCAGCCGGTCAGTCTACCGGGAGATCTTCCCTCATGCACACACGCGCTCACACACACACACACACACACACACAAAACGGTAAACCATGTCCATGCCTCTCTCCAAATGCAGGGTTCACTTGATATCATGAAACTGTCTGTACTCTCTACTCATATTATTAGGAAGACTTTCTTGTCCCAATCACCTTCCCCCCCTCCCCCCAGAGAGGGGAGACTTTCAGGCCTGAAATCTCTACCTACCACCCATGCCTTGGCTCTACCATGAGCCCTGATCCAAACAGGATGCTCCTGACCTTGCTGTCATGGCCCCTCCCTCCCCGCCTCC